CACACACACACACACACACACACACACACACACACACACACACACACGTGCATGCACGCACACGCAGGGCAACCTCCTTTGCCTCTGCACGGAGACATAATGCACAAATACATGAACATAAACTTTTTGTCATATTTAATGGAAACACAAACAACTGTAGAAGTTCCAGTATGAGATAAATACTAATTATAATAACTTAGTTGTTGTTTGATGTTAGTCGTGTATCTTAAATACTGTTAGGTGATTTAGGAGGGACAGCAGGTTCCAGTCTGATTTAAGTAGAATTTTGAGGTATTTGTACCTACCTTTTATTACACCTCATCTGACAATTGTTTTTGTATTTTTTACTCCATTATATGTACTTGAAAGCCGCAGTTACTTTGCAGATGAAGAGTTGACAAAAAACTGCATTATTAGTTTATAAAATACAGTTTGTTGCAATAGTCAGGCGTTTATCAAAAAGTAATGCGTTATAGTTTGTATTTAATCCACGTCATGGTGAGCCAGGACCACAAGTCAAGGTAGATTCATTTGTCACATAACTTCCCTCGTTATTTTAACCCAAACCACAGTCTTTTCCGAAACCTAACCAAGTACTTTATTGCTGAAACACTGTGGGGGATTGTGTGGTGCACGCTTGTGATGCTGGACATTTGTAGGGAAACTTTTCGTAAGATCTCATATGAACCGTTGTATGAGGATACATTGCAACAGTAGATCAAATCAGCTCCACCTCAAACAGCTACATTAAAACTGAGTTTTTTACACACGCACACACACACACACACACGCACACCACACACATACGAGCACACAGGGGAGGACGTCAACTTCTGCTCCACTTTGTGTGAATAGATGGAAATCAGTCACAAGTATCTCTGTGCCCCATTGTGTGCTTGGAAGTCTTTGTTCGAGCATCTGTTGCCCAAACATTCTCCTCAGTGTCACTCACTCTAAATTGGTCTGTTCAGACGAGTTGCAACAAAACTCACTCCTCTCCCCCCCCCCCACACACACAGAGGGGAGGGCTGGGAGATTCCCTGAACGCAAGTAAGAGAAAGAATTAATCTTTGTCCCTTTTATGCGTCAATGAGACACAGATGATCGTAAAGGCCCAAGAAGCAGTGGCAGCAATTTAGAGTGATGCTCGTGGGAACACACCGCTGAAAAGCAACATTTGTGTTCTTTCCTTCTTGTTAACCACAAAGATGTCCTAACGTTTTATGGCACTTACAAGGAATCTGACTCCTGTCACTTGCATTTATTTTTTTACAGTAAAACAAAACAAATACTGTCGATTTAAGTCATTTATTGCAGTTAGGACTTAAAGAGTAGAAGAAGAGCGAACTGAGAAAGTCAGAAGACAAATTAAGTTTCCACTAAAATCAATGAATTCTGAGAAGAGTTTAATTCAGAAAGCTAGACTTCTGATGTTCCTGCATCCTCTCATATTCTGGATATTCCTCTATGTTATACAGAGAGATTCTGTCCACAGTAGTCTTCTCTACAGAGAGTATAGCTGCCTCTAACTGCACTGCTGAGTCAGGGTTCTGATCATTTCTCTCAGAGTCATGCGGCACGATGTTAAAGAAAACTGAATGAAAATGTAAGAGCTAAGGAACGTTGTATTGCAGAGAGGAGAGTGAGCAGAGGGGGACTAATGTTCTGCTTAAGCATGGACAGGGGGAAACACTCTGTGTGGTTGATGTGGATCAGAATTAGAGCTGTCTGACTGTCAGTGTTGGATTTTATTCTTTTGTATATTGTGTTGCATGCTATTTTGCTGAAGTTTGATTCAGTTATTTTACTCATAAGTTACTCAAGATAAGAATAACCTAATTTACAGGAAAACATCCTTGATTTAATCAAATAACTACACACTTCTTGTGCACCATACAACACAATGATATGACGGTGCAATGAGATACAAGACAGCCGAGCACTCACTTTTCAAAGACTTTTATTTTGAAATAAAAGGGGACAATATATTAAGATGAAGAGCTAGGATATCAACATAACCCATGGAATGTAAACAATAAATGCACTTAAATTATGTAAAAAAAAACAACATATCAAACATCACAACATAGGTTTCGCTTCGAAAAACAAAAAAATAAATAAGGCTTTAAGTTAACAAAAGTTACAAAAAAATGGCTTGCTGCCGGGTCAAGCTAACAATAAACTACAGCAACGAGAAGCGTCTCCGGACTCCTCGAGGCAGTCTAAGTTGACTTCACGATGGAAAACAAGCAATGCCGATCTTGCCTGGTTTCATTTGAACTCGCTTGATTTAACCTGCCACTCGGAGAGTTAGCTAGCTAGCTAGCGTGCAACAGAGGTGGACCTACAAACACATTGTCATCGAGGCAACTCCGATAGATAAAAATCAACTACAAACAAAGGTCACCTGTTAACAAGAAGACAGCAGGGATTTACACACACAACGACCACAACCGAATTTTCTAGCATCAACATTTCATTTGATAGCTGCGTAGCTGTCGACCATTACAGGTTTTTATTGGCCGCTGTGGCGAACCCCTCTTCCCCCACCGCTTTGCTTTGTATTTAGATAACAGCGCTGAACAAAAAGGTTATTACAGTCAGAGGTGTGAGGCTTCATGGAGAGGAGAGTAGACTCGCTCGATGCTCACAACGACAGCAGTGTTGCTCGTGCCACCGACGGAGGGCCCTGCAGATGACCGACTCGTGGAGCTGCTTTCGCTGTGAGAACCCAGCAAGTCCTGATTTCTGCCAGGCCTATTAGCCAATAAGGCAACATACGTACATATAGAATGCCAAAAATGTTTTTCTTCCTCCTTTTCCCCCTCCTCTCCGCGAGCCTTCTTAAAGCTACTGGATAGCACAAACCAAGCAGATGGACATCATGAATGCATAAGTGATGCATCATTTCTCTGGTATTATAAAAAACAATGCATAAGACACAACCACAAAGCAAACTCAACGAATTATACAAAAAAAGCAATAAATAAGTCTATGAAAGTGTTAAGCTATAATCCGAACACTGTGTTTTACCGGTCATGGTTAAAGACTAGGCTAGAGGCGTTAACAGTACTAGCAGGTTAGGGGGAAGTCTAACATCAGCTTTGGTAACTAGAGAGTCAGTGGGTCGTCTACACTTTGAAAAGGCAGTGAAGCTGAATCCTTGCCAGGCAGTAAAAATGGCTGACCAATACAATCACGTAGCCACGGCCATACAACCAATCAATGAATCAATCAGTGACAGCATACAGTGATAAGAGGTTGGTTTACACACTTGGAGAGCCCTAATATGACTGGAGAAGTGCTGCAGGCTGGTGTCACTATAAACTGTACAGAGTACAAATAAGATCTGTTAAAAAAACAACATTGCTATAGTGAAAAGAAAAAAAAAGTGGATAGCACACCAGGACCAAACAGCATTCATCTTAAAAATCCTTTTTAAATCAGGGTAAAGGAAAGTTCTCACATAACTTACCCACCCAGCAGGAATAGCATATGGGCTAAAATATCGAGCTATGCGAAGTACCCTCAAAGTATTCTCTAAAAAATGGGTATACAACAGTATACAGCAGTAACAATGGCACAAAAGATAACTTCATAAAAAATACAATAAAACAGAAAAGAAACAAAAAAGAAGTCAGCTAAAACTGGACAAACACTGAGCAGCGCTACAACTGCTTGGATGAGGAATGCAATATGCACAAAGTTAGGTACGTTTACCAGGCTAGATTTAGGGAGGAGCTGAATACCTAATGTTTTAACCCTTTAGGACTTGTATCTTGTATCTTGTTTTTGGACCGGACACAAAACCCGACGTCAGATCCTTGTCACATTGAATAAAACAATTAGACTGTCTACCCCCCGATGAAATCCAGCCCTACAGTAAAACCCTTCCCTACTCGTCTGTGACAGACAGCCGGCTGAAGATGGGGAGGCGTCGGCCCTCGAAACTCGGCGACTCTGTGCCGCTGGAGGAAGAGCTGAGGGAGCAGGAGGAGGTATAGCCTTCCTCAGAGAGGGAGTCCGCCGACGAGCAGCGCTGGAGGCCGGCCAGGACGTTCAGGGAGACCGGCAGCTGCTGGGGGAGGTGGTATGTGAGGTTCGGGTTTTTGGAGGCGAAAGCGGAGGCGGGACACCTGTTGCCGACAGAATCGTTCATTGCGTAGAATCGCAGAGCCAAATCGCCGGCGTCCGAACCCAGGTCAGGGATCCCGGAGAAAGGGTAGGGGCAATGCTTCAGGGCCCCCGGCTCAGGGAAGAGAGGTGAGAGGAGCTCCGGGCTCCCTGTGGAGGACGGAGGGGGGGAGACGGAGGAGGCCCGGGTGAAGAGGAGGGAGGAAGGCTGCAACTCCTCAACTGGTTGGAAAGTCTGCAGAGAAGAGGAGAACCCTGCGAAGCTGAGGCTGTGGCGCAGCAGAGGAGGCCTCATCTTCTGCTTCTGTGGAGGTGCGCCGGCGTTGCCGTCGAGGATCTCGTCGGCGTTGTGGATGAAGTGGCAGCGGGCCCCATACGGGCAGAAGCCTATCGTGTGGAAAGTGCGGCACGGCTCCGTCTTGTACTTGGGGTGCCTGCTGAGGCCTCTCATCTCGTCCATGCCGTGGGCGAACTGGCACTTGGCGCCGTACTTGCAGGTCCCGCTCTCCTCGTAGGTGCGGCAGAGTTCGGTCTTGTACCGGGTGGAGATGTGAGGCGAGGGGGCCAGGGCTCTGGAGGCCAAGGGGGAGGCGATGGAGGAGAGGGACGCGTTGCTGAAAGAGAAGCCCGGTGGTGGGAGCAGCAGTTTTGGGGACAGGTTAGCCATCTGGTCCTCTATGCCTCCCGAGCCGCTGACGTTGCCCTCGATCATGCTGACCGAGCGGTCGACCCTGAAGGGGATGTGGCTGAGCGTGGAGCGGGGAAGCTGACTTTCCCCGCTCCACCCCTGGCTGGAGGCCACGTTGAGCCCCCAGCCAGCTGCTCCATCGGTCACCTCAGAGCTGCTGCCACTGCTGCTGCTGTTGTTGAACTTGGAGTTGGGGAGGGTCACGGGGCACAGAGAATGGCGACGCTGGAAGCCCAAGACTCTCTGACTGTGCTGCTGCCGTTGCGGCTGTGAGCCGGCTGACGAGCCGGCTGACGAGCCGGCTGACGAGCCATCTGTCGCCTCCAGGCCACGGAAATTCTGTCACACAAAAGGAGAGAGGAGAAGAATAGATGTGAGCTTTCTACATTCCTGGAGCACTGGAGCGAGACTGGCTAGGCCAAGTCGAGCTGAAAGGAGATTTTAAAGCTGCACCTAAAGCAACCAGACTATGTTTTAATGTTGAGACTGCAGTAAATCAGGCCTCATAACAGGTTCATTTTCAGTTTCATGGGCTTAACTGGATTGCAAAGTATACACATGCACAAAGACAAAAACCCATCACTTTCCATGAAGCATTTTATTGTGTTGTAGTTTCCAACATGATGGTTGTTCGTTCTTTTCAGATAATGAAAGAAAACCACATGCTAGTTTTTAACCCAAAAAACATAAATATGTGAAACTACAAAACTTTTCTTGTGGTTTCAAACTTGTTATTTAGTAAATCCTATTAAAACAAATCCCCCCATCCAAGAATTCAACTTTTTTTCTTGTGATGTATGCAATAGTTTAAAGCCCTGAATCAAAATAATAAAAAAGACATTTACCAACAGAAAACAATGAAATGAATGATTGCATTATTATAATGAGGCCACGAGTTACATCCAGAAAATAACTGTTAAATAGGTCTTAGTTTATGCATTTCATTATGTTTTTGAGAATTGAGAGCCATCAGATGTTGGCAGTTAAGTATAAAAGGTTGAAATTGTCTTTGGTTGCTCTCACCTTGAAGAACTCCTCATCCAGTTCCAGGAAAGGCGTTAGAAAGTCGGAGGGCATGGTTGGCTCCGCCGTCCACGGCAAGTGAAGGAGTTGTGTGTCTGGTCCCACAGTGGAGGAAGGCTGGGGAGGACAAAACGTTTCTGGTCTTTGGGGAGCGGAGATGGCAGAAAAAAAGGGAAAACCTCAGATATCTAAGTTTGGCCCTCTGACAGTCAAGAAACTGCTTGTCCCAGGAGTTGAAAGAGGTTTTTGGGGGGAAAGGAAGGGGTGAGAATTGAAGGAGTAGTCAGGTCCGTTGAGAAGGAGACAGAGAGTTGAGAGAGAGAGAGAGCAACGTGACCCCCTCGGAGGAAAGTTCCTCAGCCATCTGTTGGAATCCGCTTAAATAGTTGGGGAAACCAACCAGTACACACCCACCCCCCTGCCTGTGTTCCTCAGGGGGCAGGGCAGGGAGTGTGTGTTAATGTGTATGTGCTGGGGGGGGGGGGGGATGGGGTCCTGCATTGTAATGGTGTGCTGGGGGGCAGGGTGGGCACAGAAAGAAGAGGAGGGAGTTGAATGAAGCCACTTTTCTACCCATTCATTACCAAATCCTTAAAGATGCATTCTTCTCTTTTTTTTTAACCGGCCGTCCCCTCACTTTGTTTAGGATCGATCCCGCTAAGGAGATAATGCCTAGTGTTGCACATACCAAAACACATTTAACGTCATGAGTGGAGTTAAAATATACAGCAAATTGGTTAAAAGTGTATTTGACATCAAATGAGTCACAACTCTTATTTACATGTTAGGTTTATTCCTCCGGATTCTTTCATCTACACTGCGTTAAACTGATTAAGTGAGGAAATAAACATGCTATATGGTAGAAGAATTGTGCAACTTGATCAACGCAGTTGATATAGACAAAATAATATTTCATCACATGGATTCCTGACAACAATACGTTAGGGCAAGACACTACAAGCAAAACATTGCGTTTCATGCACCGGTGGATTTTGTGATTTTGTCCTATTTTGCATATCTTGTCTCCTTTCAGACCAATGAAAAGAAAACATCCAAAGTACCTATTGTTTATTTCACTACTTTGTCTTTTTGCATCTGTAGATTTCTCCTAAATTCACCAAAAGTTAGCACAAGATAAGTAAGTAAGTAAGTAAGTAGTAAGATTTATTTATAAAGTGCTTAACAGGGCAGGATTATATGCCTCATATGCATATTGAAACATTTCAGAAAACTTGTAAAACAAAAAGTAATTGTCTTAATGTAAGTAATGTACATGGGAAGTTTCATGGCGATACATCAATTTTTTTTTTTACCATATTCAATGTCTTCTAAATGTATGTAGTTTTACAAAACATATATTCAATGGCTTTTCTTTAAATTAGTTTTTTTCTCAGACTCCCGTTCAGTAGCACATATATACACCAAACTTTACAGTTTCATTCCTATATTATGAAGGTTTCCACAGAAGGGTTTGTTCATAAATCATTCATAGCATGATTTATACAACATTTTATTCACAAAAACATGGTGAAAATAGATTTTTTTTGAAAGCTTGTTCACAGTATTTTTTGATTTATGGAATGATAAAAAGAGATTCCCTCTGCAAAAACCTTTAACTCTAATGTCAACAAAATGAAACAAGACTTTTGAACCTGACTTTATGCAATGGAAGTTTCATGGTGGTATCTATTCTTTAAAAAGTTGACCTTATTCACCTTTAGTGTCTTTCCCTTAAGAAATCACATCTCAAGAAACCAACAAAATGTAGTCTAACTGAACGCATCAAGGTTTCTGCAATAAACACCAGTTTTAATATTCTGTTCAAGCCATTTTGTTGATACTTTATTCAGTCTCTACTCGATGGAAAAGTTGAATTCTAACCCATGGTATCCAGTACTACTTTAGCAGCACACAATCTGAATGAATTGTTTCTTGTGTGTGGAGTTTGTCTTCCATATCACATCAGCTATTGGCTACGGTTTCCTCCCACAGTCATGTCGATTGGAAACTCTAAAATGCCCACAGGTGTAAACGGAGTGTGAATGTGTGAGACTGACGGTGTGATCAAGGCGTACCACACCCGGCTTTGTGAGTAGAGCTTTAGTTCTGAAACATTTCTCAGAGTCAGAGATGCCTTAGAGGTACAACTTATACAATGACAAAGTGATATATGTATTGTGTATGTCAAAGGTATTGTAACGTACAGGTTGTCTACATAAGCTGGCATGCTGACCCACAAAGCACAATATAAGCAAGTCTTTTGTTGCTGTATGTAAACTACACTTTTCACCTTTCGTTTTTGTTAACATTTACTTACTAATGTTGTTCATGCTTCTATCATTCCGACAATGTTTGTATGTTTTACAGTGAAAAAGTAAAAATTATAGTAAAGTAGAAAAACTAAAGAAAAATACTAACATGATTACAAAGAAGGAAGAGATATAGAATACCTTTCAAGACTAAATGAATTAACATGTCACTGCTTCATATTTTACATCCACGTATGTGAGATAAGAACAAGTCCTGACATGTGGGTCAGTGGTGATCCATCCACTCCCTCAGCGGTGACGTTTTCATCGTCACGGTTTGCCATTTCAAAGCTTGTTGTTGTGTTCAAATGCAAATGGAGGTCAGCGAGGATGGATCAAAGCTGGCAGGGTGGAGAAGTGTTGACTGTTCCACAGTAACTCCTGAGACCAAACTGGTTTATAAAGTGTGAATGTGAGATTTCTAACTCGGGTCCATGATTGTGCTCCAGCCACAAAAGTCAGCCACAACAACTCAAAGGGGAAACCTGTTGGAGACTTGTAGATCTGTCAGTAATACAGCTCCACTGTTTTGGATCAGAGAGATGCGTGTCTGGTGCATACATGGTCACATGGGGAATCGAACGCATTGACAATATTTGCAAAAGGAATGTAAATCTGATCTGCTCTCCCAATCACTTGGGTGGGTAAACATTATCTTTTTAAATGGACTCTCTAGATACCCATGACAGGGTTGTTATAGTTATACCTACGAAAAGTAATGTACTGTCATTTGTATGAGACCCAAAACACCGGACTTTCACCCAGGAGGCCTCTTCTCGTGTCCTGTGTGAGACCAGAATTCAATTTTGATTTAGTTGTCACTTAACTTCCGTACCTACACAGAGAAAAATAATGGTTCTTAACTGGTTCTTTAAAAGACTGTGTGGTTCCACGAAGAACCATCACCCACTAAAGAACCATTTTATCTGTTGGATATTTCTACATGATTGTCATATGGTTCTTTGGGATATTAAAGGGTTCTAAATTCATGTTTGAGTTATTGGATGGTGCGGGATGGTATGAATTTACAATTCTTTAGAGATCCTTTTTTTAAGTTCTTCAAAGAACTAGACATGATGCCTCAAAGAACCATATTTTGATGGCTCTTTGAAGCATTTAAGAAAATGCTTTTTTAAAGAACCTTGGTCTGAAAGGTTCTTTGTGGAAATCGAAATGTTTTTTCTATGGCATCACTCTAAAGAACCATTTTCGGTTCCAGATGACACCTTTATGGAAGTAATGCCACTTCCGTAAATATTGTAATCTAAACAACCATCTTTTTCCTAACGAGAGAAGTTTTATTGCCTAAACCGAACCAAGTTGTTTCCTGTGAAGATAGAAGTTTACTTTGGAAAAGACTGTATGCATGTATCAAGTGAACAATTGAACCGCGTTGCTAAACTTTCGGAGGAAAACGCTCAAAAAATGAGAAACAACTTTTTGTACAATTTCAAAGAAACCCTTGTCTGAACCTGTTTAAACAGACAGTAAATCAAAAGAAGCAATTTAAAGCATTGTGCAGCAGTGTTGGAGGTATGGTAACAGAAGCATGTTTAGAAATTCTAAATAAACCAGGAAGTGTATTTTCCTCATAATAATTGTCCCGTCCAGAGAGTTAAGAGTAATTTGCTTGTTTGTTCTAATCCGGTTAAAGTTCAGACTCTGACTTGCACTGAAACTCGGTTTGAACTTGTTGTGTTTTGTACCATTTGACACATTTTACAATGGGAGCTACGATGCATTTCAAACTACTGCTGATCAGTTGTTTGTGTTGTGCATTGTGTCTCTGTATGGACGCTGCAGGGACGTTTCAGACGGTGTTGATGTTGTGGTCGGGTGTTGAGCCGTCATGGAGTCCAGGAGCCAACAGAGAGGAAGTGTAAACACTGCAGTGTTTACAGTTTGAAGGACTCGGGCAGTAATACTGAAACGATACAATGAAATGACACATTAAGCCCCTTGTTTACTGGACAAAAAACCCACTTACACACACTAACATCTGGCTTTTGTCTTCAATGGGAAAGGTTACAATCAACATTCATTCTCCTGGACGAATGACTCTGTATTCATCGGCTCCAGCTCCGGCCGGCAGTGACAATAATGACAATCTATTAACCTATAAAACATGCATTTAGTATGCTCCCCTCAAAGCCACCAGACTCCAGTCAGACAACAAAGTCATTTTACCTCGCTGATTATCAAATCACACTTCATTCAATCCTGATAAAAACCTAATGAAGTCAGTCTTTCCACAGTTCCAACGATCACCGACTGGCTCTGTCAAAATAAACCCTTAATACACTGAGATGTGAAAAGAAACAGCCGCCAGAAACAGACTCCACTGACAGAGACAGTCATTTTACCTCTCTGATAATTGTAAAACACACTTCATTCAAACTAGACAGAAACAAATTGAAACTGACCAAAACTGTCTTAGTAAGTCTTTCCACTGTTCCAACAATCACCAACTCTGGTTTGGGAGTTTGAAGACTGAATAAGTAAAGGATACGTAACCACTGCAACACTTTCACGGCCTACTTACCATTTTGTGTGTTTGTGGCATCGAACGTGACACAATTGAAAAAAAACAACACAGCGAGACATACTTGTATTTTGGTGGAGAAAAATAAAAAGTGTATGAAAAAGTACAAAAAGCGTGTCAAAGTGTCTAAGAGCTGCGATCAAATCACCATTGTATGCCCCGGTTATTGTTTGCATATTGAAACAGAGTGAGGAAGAGGAGGTTGTTCTTGATTTGAACTAGGAGCAGATGCGATCTTGTGAATGTGTGGACGCATGTTGTTTTCACATGCAAAAGTATGTAAGTAATCTATCAGGAAATGCAACCAGGGAAATATTTATCCAAGTTGAAAGAATGAAGAAGTAAATCGACAGTTTGATGTCTGGATTGTTTGTGGCTGTGCAAACTGAGTGACGGTTCATTTCTTTAAAGAGGCTGCAAAGACAAACTGTAAAACACGCAACAGACATTTCTTATCACAACGCCTCACTG